AATTATTTTACATTGAGTCAGTTTGTTCTTAGACTTTTCTTATACTGTTAGGAGCCTTTCATGAGTGATTTTGTCCCTTTTTCCGGGAAAATATTATGCATCATTCTAGCGTATTAATAAATAACTTTCATCAGAAAATATTCTAAGTGAGAATTAAAAAAAAGAATCGCTATAAATGCGGAAATTTTAGTCTGTGATATGAAAGGAAATAAATGTTCAAAGCGCTTTATATTCCTCACAGAGCGAATGCGCGTAGAAACGCTTTCCCTCCTTTCGTGACGTCATCAAAACTCTGCGGCCTGGTCCTTTCAAGATGGATTTGCCTCTACATGGCGGGTTTTCAGCGGTGCTAGGCTCGAACTCATGACACGCCGACCGCGATTCCGTTACATTGACCACAGAAGCCGCTTGCAGAATTTTCAGAAATATATCAAATGCAGAGGGGAAAAAAGGAAAGCTATTCAAAGGAATACACAATTAAGGGATGATACATTGATAGATAAGTTAATAATTTGAAAACCAGCAATTGTGTAACTACTTAAAAAAACGAGCAGTTTTCTTTAATTCGAGTGATACTCGTTCATGAAGAAAGTGTGCATTAAAAGTATGGATTATTTTTTCCCAATATTTCTAATTCTCATTCATGTATCTAATTCTCTTTAAGGCAACTAAAATTGATACATTCAAAGTAAAATTTGACATATGATTTATATGGAACTGAAATGTTTTAAAAACAAACAATTCAGGCTATTGAATTAACGTAACGTTTTTCATGCTATCATCGTGAATTTTTTTCGTTGCGATTCTGCTTTATTAATTTTTTATTGATATTGTTTTGTGTACAAACATAATTTATCTTTACAACTGAGATGGGAAGAACTGACTATAGCATAATTCCTGAATTATTTTATTATAAATTATGCAAAGGATTCGTATAAAAAATGGTATTATTACATTTTATTTCCAATGAGGCTGCGGACTAGTACTACTTAATATTGCAGACCTAGTACATTCTCTGGGAGCTGGTATCACTTTTTAGTGCGGGCATCATAATAGGTGGAATACCCTTTGTCATAATGTAAGTTTCGATGGCCAGTTTCCACCCCAGACAGAGGACCTGCGCTCTGACGATGCGAAATTGAAATTTTTACATCTTAATATGCAATACGTTGAAAGCGGAATTTCTTAAGAGAATACTATTTCTAGAATGTTATCTATAATTTAAAGTTGAAAATGCGATAAAAGTGCATTCGATAATAGAGGCAAGCAATAATTTTATAACTTGTGTTTACTAACCCTAATGTTAAGTCATAACAAGTGGATGTGTGCACTTTCTTGGAACCAGGGCTTCGAACCGTAATTTTTTTCGTTCTGGATTAACTAATATATATTATATACTAGCTGTGTGCGTGTGTGTGGTATACCAGATCTTCGCACGAGTGAACTCAAAAATTAAACACAGATTGAAGGATAAAGAATTTTTTAATGAGTTAATTTTACGGGAATTGCAAATTAAACAAATAAAAGCTTTTTGAATATCTCAGCTGAACTAAAAAAGAAAGAAAAACAACACCTTTGTTAAATTTTAAGTCTGTAGATCTAATAGCTAATCAAATGATTTTTTTTTTATTTATAACTCCTCGTAACACTCTTGAGAGTCAATTTTTGAAAATGCCTCCCTAAACTGATCTCTGCTCAGAAAAAGTAACACATTGTTAAAATTTTTGTGTAATGAACACTTAAAATAGTGTAAATAATTTATATCTGAACCTGTAATACGTTAATATTACTTTCTGTTGTATTTAAAATTGTAATGTTAAAATTGTTAAAATGTTAAAATTGTAATACTCGCAAGCAACGCCGTTTCTTAAATTATAATGGCGATTCAATGAAAAACATAGCGAATTGTTGAAGATAGAGTCAAGTTGACAAATTTCTAGCTACTTTCATAGCTCGAGCTTTATTAGAGCTTTGTAAGACCCACCGTGTAGGGGTGCGATGCACGTTAATACTTTATCCAACGCATTATGATTTACTGCAGTTTTTTCCATGCAATATTTTTTTTTTGGATCATTACATTGAAAATTAAGGGATATACATAAACAAAATACTCCACTTTGGGAAATTTAAACCGTTAGAGCTAATAAATTGATTAAAGGATATTTCACTGTAAAATTAATTATGTACACCGTTCATTTAAAATAAATAGTCAAATCGTTTTCTAAGGTCTTCATTAACATACAAAAACATAAGACACTTAAATTCTGACATAAACTATTTTTTCGGGACAAAAATAATAATCCTCACAATCCGCTGAAAACGCCGTCAGCTTAAAATGTAATATCTGCTACAAAACTATTCGCCTTCCCCGCTAAAATACTCATCACTGAACCCGTTCTGCCATATATCTTGGAGAAGTGAATTTCAAAGAATATTCCTGCTAAGTTGGTGTGGTAGTTAAGAGAAGGTGGTGCCAGCTCAGGTGTCGTCCACGTCACTTGACCATGGTTCAAAATTCCGTGGTCGCCAAAAGCTCTCGTGTAGCTGAACAGTGTGACGTTAATATTCACTCACTCCAAAAACTACAGTAGAGTAGTTATAATTATTTTTATACTTAAAAATGCAATATCTATCCATTCAATTAAAAATTGTAGCGTTATAATTAACTACTAACCACAAACATATTTTGAAAATTTGTCCAAATGATGTGAAAATAGTGTCCAATACTGTGAAAGAGAAAGTTTACTTACTTTAAGTACCAGAATCGATAAAGTATTTATTTTGTAGAAAGATCAATTTCTTACTACCAAATGGGCGTAATAGAATCATAAAATAAATATTAAAATAAAGAGAGATTTGTAACAACCTCTCCCTTCAAAACTTAGTTTTATTCTGAAATAAAAAAAATTAGTGATTACGCTGATTACTTGAATAAATTAGAAGCGAGCGCCTTGCGTAGCCAAAACAAAAAGGGTTTCTTCACTAATAAAAAGATAGATATATGCTTTCATGCGCTTTTTTGCAGCGCATGCTAGAATTTCTTGCAGATGGCAAAATGTTTTCCTACTTACGTGACAAATATCATATTTTGAACACTTCACACAATATCTTTATAAATTATAGCCTATGCTATAAATTACAGCCTATGTGTTATTCTGATGTATAAGCTATATTACTGCAAAGTTTCATTAAAACCCATTCAGTTGTTTTTGCGTGAAAGACGGCCAAATATCCAAACTTTCGCATTTATAATATATATATATATATATATATATATATCGGTTCAGTTCCGAATGACTAATTTTATTTTATGTATATTCTTATCTTAAAATCGTCGATACTTCTAGTCCACATTCAATTGAATTAAATCTGCCTTCTGCAAGTACTTTCGACCGAAACTGAAAAGTACTAGAGAACATTAAAATAGGAAATCGAGAATCAATGTACACACACAGGCAAAAGCGATAATTATATGGTTGACGTTAAATTAGAAAATATCGGAAAGTTTGGTTGCAGTAACAAAAAATGACTTAAGATATAACTAACTGAAATAAACCGATTTTTTTTCCGGTCCAGTTCGAAGATCTTCTTTGAACACTCCACCATTCTAGAGCAGGACTTCAATTCACAATACCTCCACCCGCAGGAAGTGCGAGTTCATTGACCAATAGGAGACAGAGGGCGAGGGGAGAAAAGGACCCCGTTTAAATATGGGAGAATGTGCTCGCGTCACTAGAGTACTAGGTTACGGTTCCTTAGACTGGGGTTCTATTCTCACTTTTACTAAATTTCTTTAATACTCTTCCATTTTCCTCGGAAAATTAATTCGAAAGATCTTTTTTATTTTTCATGTGATCTTCCTTTACTTTTTCTTTCATTATTTTATTTTTTATTAGCCTTTAAAAAAGGTGTTTCCGATTTTCTGTTTTTCATTCTGTGTTTTTCCCACTTTCGACGATCGCTATTTTTTTTCTTGCACTTTAATATTTTTAATTTTTATATTTTCTTATTCTCCTGTTGTTTTTTTTTAACTTTTACTTTAAAGTATTTTAATTTAACAAAGGGCAAGAGTCAATCTGTTACAGTCACTCAAAATCCTAACGATGTGAGGTTATAACTGAAAAAAGCTAGGTACTCAGGTCATCCACCCAACGATATATTGCGTGAGGAAAGGCAGTCATGCAGTTTACAGAGAAGCTATTCTGCTTCAGAATCTCGTGAATTTATTGTAGAACAACAACTTGTGATCCCATAAGAGTAATCATCTATTAATGCCTTGTTATTTCAATGTTTGTAAGGCTCATAAAATTCTAATTAAATTGCATTGTTTAAACACTAGCATAAAAATGAGAATCTAGTCACCCTTATTTATAAAGCTGATATTTCAAAATGTCTGAAAGAGGCGCATATTTCACTTTATTACAAGTGTACCATCATAATATTTATATCTGAGTTTATTGTTTACGTTAACTGCATAAAGTTGTAAATCTATTTTATGAAATCCCGCAATACTGTCGCCATTAGAGTTTTACAGGTCTTTTCTATACTTTTTTTAATACACTTTCTCTGAAGAATATGTCTTTCATAAACATATATATATATATATATCTTATTTTTGTTTAATACCATGCTTGTTAATGCCAAGCTCTTTTCTAGAAAATAACAGGTGTCTACCAAATATTATATTACGAATATGTGATTATTTTATGTAGACATGTTTTTCCCCCAATTCCTTACATTATTTCACTCTCTCTCCATATTTATTTATTTATATATGGATATATCTTGTTCACACACACAAATTTTCAATCGTTAATAAAATACTTCCTATTCATCCATTCAAGTTCAAACACATTTTTTTAAAAATTTGTAGTGGATAATACTTGGTGTGAATACATTTTTTCAAATATTAATTCATTTATTAAACTAAAAAATGAATAAATAGTAACAAACAAAAATAATAGTCCAACAGCATATATAGAAAAACAATTGCTCGTTGTGTCCCTGTAGCGCAATGGATGGCGCATTGAACTTCTAATACAGAAGGCGTGGGTTCGAACCCCACCTGGGATGGCCTAATTTCTGAGAATGTGATTTCTTTTTTACTACACTATTTTATTAGAATAATTAAATTTAATTAATGAATAAATATAGTAACAAAAACAAACAAAAATAGTCCAACACTATATAGAAAGGAAAATGGAAAATTGCAAGGAAAATCGCTCATATGTATATACACATTTATATTAATTGTAACTATTTACTAAAAAGTAACTAAAATAAAATTTTATTTGTTGACCTAAGAAGGAATTGACTTAAAAAAAAAAAATTTATATTACTTTTTTTATTTGCTTAGAGTTTCCTTCCTTGAATATAAATTACTTCATAGTCTCAAATTAAATAATTTTAGCTCTATACATAGAATAAGTACAGTCTATTTTAACCAACATCACACAGCTTTCTTGTAGGTTATAAATTAAATTGAAATGAAATATTCTATTAGTAGGCGTAATAATGCTAATTTCTCAATTTTTCTTGGACAAAAATATATTGTATCTCTACAGAGAGAGAGGTTACTCTTTGCTATTTCCATGAAAAGTATATGGTTATCATTTGCTTATGTAAGATACAGTTACTGTTAGGGATTATGCATGCCACTAGATCACGCTATTTAAATTATACGGTGTGTATTATTGTTTACCCGGAAGGAGGAAAAAAAACAATGATTGGAAAGAGGCTGTACACGGGCCAGTCGCTCTGTGTCAGCGATATTTTTTTTATGTATAGTGTTTTATGTGAATGTAAAAACAAAGAATTGAAAGAGGCTGTACACGGGCCAGTCGCTCTGTGTCAGCGATATTTTTTTATGTATAGTGTTTTATGTGAATGTAAAAACAAAGAATTGAAAGAGGCTGTACGGGCCATTCGCTCCATGTCAGCGATACTTTTTATATATCTGGTGGAAATAAATCTATTTGAATGACAACAACAGTTACAAAAATTCTAGTTAAAAAGATTTATATCAGAATAACTTATATATATATATATATATATGTCGCAGGGAAACGATGAAATTAGGGCTTTCGTCAAAACCCTAAAGGAAATAATCAATTCACGCAAAATGTTACAATAACGTCTCTTTGGTGTCTTTTCCCTGTTGTAAGAAAGTGAGTTAATTAAATCCCCGAACTGTGTTTCAGTGAAATGATGGAATGAAAAAATATGCCACTTTTTTGGTGCTAGAGGACTGCTATTTGGGGGATCGTAATAGCTTTTGTTATGGTTAGGATCTACTGGGACGCATCCCTCCGGTGCATTCCCACCCCCTCTACAGCTTTTTGGCCAATATCTCGACACCCGAGCCTCACAGTCCATTCGGATCTGGATTATTCGATCCCTCTCTAACTGCTCTTCCAGTTATTATAATTTCATGCTCATAGGGCTATTCCTTACATAGTTTTTAATTGCTTTAAACTCTTAAAATTTATTTAAATCCACAATATCTTGGCTCTTGTTTGAGTCTCGGACTTGAGATTTGAACCAACTATTCCACACGTCGATGGGGAAGGCTTAAGTACTAAAATATCATGCTCCCATGTCAATCCTATGGGGTCTGAAAAATTTCACCCTTCTAAGGAAATGAGCTTGGGACTTGATTTTTGGAGGTCCGCCATATTTTCGTGTATGCGCAAGCTTTACGTGGAATTGGTCCCCTCCGGTACTCCCCCCTACCGGGCATCCCCATTAATAACTCGAATCCTATGCTACCTTGGTCGACCGCACCGGCTGGATTCGATTGTTCTCCCTATGAGCTCTTCAAATATGTTATTTTATCCCAATAGTTCCATTCCTCCCCCCCCATTTCACATTTTTAAACAATATTAAAATTTAAAAAATTTTGAAATTACCCATAGCAACGAGGATTTTTGACCTGAATGGTTCGGAAGTACAAGGACTCGATTTCAGAGGTGTCTGCACCCCCTTTGGACAGCATTTTGCCAATATTTTAAAATAACGTCTCTTCAATGTCATTTCCATTATGAAAGTAAGGGATTTTCTTCAAACCCTGAACTGTTTCAGTGAAATGGTGAAAAGAGCTAGTCAGGATTTGCATTGGCAAAATGCTGTCCAGGGAGGGGGGGAGACACCTGGGAGGTCGAATCCTTGTACTTCCAAACCATTCAGGTCAAAAATCCTCGTTGCTATGGGTAATTTCAAAATTTTTTAAATTTTAATATTGTTTAAAAATGTGAAATGGGGGGGGAGGAATAGAACTATTGGGATAAAATAACATATTTGAAGAGCGCATAGGGAGAACAATCGAATCCAGCCGGTGCGGTCGACCAAGGTAGCATAGGATTCGAGTTATTAATGGGGATGCCCGGTAGGGGGGAGTACCGGAGGGGACCAATTCCACGTAAAGCTTGCGCATACACGAAAATATGGCGGACCTCCAAAAATCAAGTCCCAAGCTCATTTCCTTAGAAGGGTGAAATTTTTCAGACCCCATAGGATTGACATGGGAGCATGATATTTTAGTACTTAAGCCCTCCCTATGCCTACACAATGGGAGTCAAGTATATGACTGGATGGGTCCCGACGAGTGGAACAGTTGGATCAAATCTTAAGTCCGAGACTTAAACAGGAGCTAAGATATTGTGGATTTAAATAAATTTTAAGAGTTTAAAGCAATTAAAAATTTTGTAAGGAATAGCCCTATGAGCATGAAATTATAATAACTGGAAGAGCAGTTAGAGAGGGATCGAATAATCCAGATCCGAATGGACAGTGAGGCTCGGGTGTCGAGATATTGGCCAAAAAGCTGTAGAGGGGGTGGGAATGGACCGGAGGGATGCGTCCCAGCAGATCCTAACCATAACAAAAGCTATTACGATCCCCCAAATAGCAGTCCAAAAAAAGTGGCATTATTTTTTCATTTCATCATTTCACTACAACACAGTTCGGAGGTTTAATTAACTCACTTTCTTATAACCGGGAAAAGACATCAAAGAGACGTTATTGTAACATCTTGCGTGAATTGATTATTTCCTTTAGGGATTTGACGATAGCCCTAATTTCATCGTTTTCTTGCGACATATAGATGAATGAAATTGCTTTCAAAGTGTTAACAGTAAAAGGAAAAATATATTAACCTATTTTGCCACAATATGGAGTAAAATTAACACAAATAAATCGTGAGTAGTAAAAAATATATTGAGTCCCAAAAAGTTATAATAATATCTTAATAAAAACTCTAACGACAAGAATTTATAAAAAATTTAGTTGTAGAACATAAAATACACCCAATACAGAAATTATACTCTCTTCCAGATAGTGAATCTATTACCAAAATACACAACATATTATATCATGAGTATATATTAAATTTATGGAATGTGGAAATTATATACCAATCATAAAAGATCCATTTTTATGTAATTTTGCAATAAATTTTCTGCAAGTATAATTTTTAAGAGCTATTTCTAACAACGTTTATCTTCAGAAATATACCCTAATATACAAAAATGAAGATAAACATGAAGTTTTTGAAGCTCAGTTTTAAATATTTTCGAACATATATTATGGAGATATATGTAACATGTAGTGCTTATCTTTAAATTGGTATATTCAACAAATTTTTAACAGAGTAGTTTAGAGAAAAGAAAGAGAAAAATTACTAATTGATGAAAAAATCTTGCGGAGTTTAAGGTATCCGACAACGTTGGGAACCGTGATTTTAAAAAAGTGCATAAATGGATAATATTCATGATATTTAGTGTCACTTAGATTAGAATATATGTATAAAATTGTTTTAAGGACATTTTGGCAAAAAAAAAAATTATTTAAATACAATATTACGGCAAAAAATTAACTTAGAATAACCTTTTTTCACAATGTTCTTTTACAAAAAGTGCCTCTATAATAATAATATTTTGCTTATATAAAGTAAAGACTTCTCCAGAGAGTCTGAACTAGTATTTTTTAAAAATTCAGATTATTTTCAGAGTTACAATCAATTGATATAATTATCGGCGTTTTTTTCTTAAAATTTCTCCCCTCTGTTGTCGTAAAACACGGATAAACCCACTACTAAGTTATATATTTCAAAAATTATAGTTGAGTCCCTGTACAGAGGTCTGAGCTATAGACAGGCAAAATATTATTATAATAGAAGCATTTTTCGCAAAAGGAGAATATTTTGAAAATGGGTCATTCTATGTTAATTTTTTGTCAAAATATTGTACTTAAACAATTTTTTATTGTAATACTATTCTTAAAACAACTTTATATACATTTTCTAGTCTAAGTGACACTAAATATCATAAATATTACCTATTTATACGCTTTTGCAAAATCACGGTTTCGAACGTAGTCGAATACCTTAAGAGGAAAAAGCAGAGTTAAAATTTAAAATAGGGGATGGGGATCTAAAGTAAAAGGGAAATATAATTACAAAAATTCTTTTTTCGGAATTTAAATAAGATTAAGAATTTTATATGTACTTATAAATGCTTAAGATATCTGACAAATAGAGTTTAAGTGTTAATATTTAAAGATGATAATTGTAAAAGTATTAATAACATTATCGAAATTCCTCTGTAGAAATGAAAGATTTTTAAAATAATTTACTATTAATCATATTCCATTATTCCTTTTCTTTTTCATGAAATGTTTTCTTAAATTACGAGATTAATAGATATGTATTTGAATTTTTTTCTTTTGTTTATCTTATGAAAGTAAATTTAAAATGTATTTAATCATCTACAAATTAAAAGGACACAAACTCCGTTATTCATGTCACTTCCAAGTTATATCAATTTTGTGTTCTTTAGACCTAAGGTATCTTACTATAAGAATTTACACTAATAAATGTTAAACGAACAATTATGCATTCGCATCAATGCTAGAAAAGTAGTAGCTTTCATAAAACAGGATTTCATGCACAAAAACTATCTAAAATTTTAATGGACCACAAAAAGAGAAGGAAAAAGAAAATAAACAAGATTTTCACAAGTTTTTTTTCCCGGAAATTTAGCACAAAATATTATACCTTAACAACAAACTTACTGTTC